ACGACGGGGCCCCTTGGGCCTTAAATATACAAATTATTATTATTATTATTAGTAAATGAGATTGTGTGAAATTTTCAGGACTTTTAAAATTTCATTTAAGTATACAAAAACGCCACTCGTGATCACCTGAGCCGTCGACTAGCTGTTAGACAATTAGGACCCAATGAAGTCGAGAAGAGGGGGACGGATGCCGATGGCTTCCAGTTTTACCAAAAGACGTCTGTGTGGTACCTTGTCAAAGGCTTTGCTGAGGTCAAAGTAGATCACAACCATTGATCGCTGCTCGTTACGAAGGGAAGTGACAAGGTAAAGAAAAGCTAAGTGACATGTTGCGCATGATCGTACAGGTAGAAAAACATGTTGCGATTAGTTTAAAAGCTTGGTTTCTAGGTAAAAATCGATAATTTGATAAAATATTATCTTTTCCGGAAGTTTGGCTAGGGCCGGGGTTTATGAACGCCTCATTAAGTATTTACATCCGAACGAGATCCTGACTTGAAGACTGGAAGTATAATAGATGTTTTCCATGATTCAGGAAAGAAACCACGTAGAAGATAGAAAATCAGTTTATACACGCTTACAGGAACACAACGTAGTTGTAAAGAGGCGAGATCACCTGTCCCGAGTCACCATGCACACACTAGAAGCTGGGCACTAATTCGCATGGGACGAAATTTGCATTGTAGGCTCCTGCCCATCCAGGAAAGGCCGTGAATTTTAAGCCGCCATTAACCCCGACTACTCATGCATTAATAATCACGTCGAATTGGATGCGGTGTACACCAATCTCAGGGAAGCCTGGTAAATACGGCAACAAATCCGAACTGGACGTCAACCAACAAACACTGCTACTGACCAATGATCACTGTTATGTAAATTTTCCAAGCGTCTGATGACGACCTGGTTTACCGGAGTAGAAAGTTCACAATTAAGTTTGTTAGCGTTACTCAACGAATTACTACCACCAAATTTATTCATTTACACAAGCCAAAAAGCATAAGAAGAGACTCAATAAAGCCAAAAGGCGTCGGGAGAGCGGTCTTGGGTCTGCCCTACTCCGCGGCCGGTATCTGGCGATACGCTCTGACGAGGTCTGTTTTGGAAAAATTGCATTTTCGGCCAGCATGTGAGTTAAGTCATGAATGTGGGCTACCGGATACTGGTCCGGGACCATGGTCCTGTTCAGGACCCGGTACTCGCCATATGGTCTCCAACCATAGGATGATTTCTTGGTCACCATGTGTAGTAAAGAGTTCCAGGCACTGGACGAAGACCGAATGATCCCCTAATTGAGCAGGTGGTCATATTCATTCTTGGCTCTCCGGATATTCTCCTGGTGAAGTCGGCGCAGATGGGCGTGAACGGATCGATGGGTTGTGATGATGTGATGTCTTTTGGCACATAGAACCTGTTCAGTGTACTGACATGGTTTTGCGACGGACGAACAGTCCTTCATGTGGGAAAATTGTGAAATTGGAATTTCTCAAGTGGATGCCTACTGAAGCTTCGGAGGAAGCACTACCGTATGTGAAGAGGTTTATAGTAGAGTCAATAAGTTTGCGATGCTGTATACCAACTGAAATAACGAAGTGCGACAGAAAATCGGCCCCTTAATAGGCGACTGAACGTCAGTCTGGATACAAACCCACTGGAAACGCCACCAAAGTACGAGGTAGAGGGTCAGTGACTGCGGCCTATGCGTGTTAATAGTGGTGCTGTTGGCAGCCGCCGTGGAAACTGCGAAGGCAGGAAAAAGTAACGCATAGGAGGCGGGATAAGAATAATCTCAGCATCAGTGTCGATGACAAAGTGGAACCCAGTGGACCTGTCGGATAACTAAAACTGGCAACAAGATCGCGACTGCCCAACAGCAGTCATCGCCATTACTGGCTGGTGGGGTTGTTTAACAAGTGTTCTGGTTGCTGATAGTTTCACGGCCGAATACATATTCGTGCCTGACTGGTGAGATGCGTAACAGCAAGACGCCGACGCCGGATTGCAATCGTCT